GACCATAATGATATAAAACTAGAAAAAAACTACAAGAAAAAAGCTGGGAAAGTGACAAAGATGTGGAGACTAAACAATATGCTACTGAACAACCAATGGATCATTGAAAAAATTAAAGAAGAAATCAAAAAATAGCGGGAGGCAAACGAAAATGAAAATACACCATACCAACTCATATGGGATGCAGCTAAAGCGGTTCTAAGAGGGAAAGTCATAGCCATATAGGCCCACCTTAACAAACAAGAAAAATCTCAAATAAGCAATATTAAACTACACCTAACAGAACTAGAAAAAGAACAAACAAAGCTCAAAGTCAGCAGAAGGAGGGAAATAATAAAAATTAGAGTAGAAATAAATTAAATTGAAACCAAGAAACAGTAGAAAGGATCAATGAAACAAAGAGCTGGTTCTTTGAGAAGATAAACAAAATTGACAAACTCTTAGTCAGACTCACTAAAATAAAAAGAGAGAAGGCTCAAATAAATAAAATTAGAAATGAAAGACGAGAAAATACAATGGATACCACATAAATACAAAGGATTATAAGAGAATACTATGAAAAACTATATGCCAACAAATTGGATAATCTAGAAGAAATGGATAAATTCTTGGACTCATACAACCTCCTAAAACTGAATCAAGAAGAAATAGAGAAGCTGAATAGACCACTCACAAGTAAAGAGAATGAAACAGTAATCAAAAATCTCCCAAAAAATAAAAGTCCAGGACCAGACGGCTTCTCCAAAGAATTTTACCAAACATTCAAAGAAGATTTAATACCTATCCTTCTCAAACTATTCCAAAGAATAGAGGAGGATGGAACACTTCCTAACACGTTCTACAAGGCCAACATCACCCTGATACCAAAGCCAGACAAGGACAATATAAAGAAGAAAACTTCAGGCCAATATTGCTGATGAATACAGATGCAAAAATCCTCAACAGAATATTGGCAAACCGAATACAGAAATACATTAAAAAGATCATACACAATGATCAAGTGGGATTTATACCAGGGACACAGTATAGTTCAATATCCGCAAATCAATCAATGTGATACACCACATTAAGAAAATGAGGAATAAAAACCACGTGATTATCTCAATAGATGCAGAGAAAGCATCTGACAAGATCAAACATCGATTTCTGATAAAAACTCTCAATAAAATGGGTACAGAAGGAAAGTCCCTCAACATAATAAAGGCCATACATGACAAACCCACAGCCAACATCATACTCAACGGGGAAAAACTGAAAGCCATTCCTCTGAGAACAGGAACAAGACAAGGATGCCCACTCTCACCACTCTCACTCAACATAGTACTAGAGGTTTTGGCCAGAGCAATTAGACAAGAAAAAGGGATAAAAGGAATCCAAATAGGCAATGAAGAAGTGAAACTCTAGCTGTTTGCACACAACATGATGTTATATTAGAAAACTCGAATGAATCCATAGGAAAACTATTAGAAATAATCAACAACTACAGCAAAGTTGCAGGGTACAAAATCAACTTACAAAAATCAGTTGCATTTCTATACTCTAACAATGAGCTAACAGAAAAAGAACTCAAGAATACAATCCCATTTACAATCACAACAAAAAGAATAAAATATCTAGGAATAAATTTAACCAAGGAGGTAAAAGACCTATACAATGAAAACTATAAGACATTATTCAAAGAAATCGATGATGACATAAAGAAATGGAAAGATATCCCATGCACATGGATTGGCAGAAGAAACATAATTAAAATGTCCATACTACATAAAGCAATCTACAGATTCAGTGCAATCCCAATCAGAATCCCAATGACATTCTTCACAGAAATAGAACAAAGAATACTAAAATTCATACGGGGCAAGAAAAGACCCTGAATAGCCAGAACAATCCTGAAAAAAAAGAACAAAGCTGGAGGCATCACAATCCCTGACTTCAAAATACACTACAAAGCTATAATAATTAAAACAGCATTGCACTGGTACAAAAACAGACACACAGATCAGTGGAACAGAACTGAAAGCCCAGAAATAAAACCATACATCTACGCTCAGCTAACCTTCAACAAAGGAGCTAAGAACATCAATGGAGAAAGGAAAGTCTCTTCAATAAATGGTGCTGGGAAAACTGGACAGCCACATGCAAAAGAATGAAAGTAGACCAACTTCTTTCGCCATACACAAAAGTTAACTCAAAATGGATCAAAGACTTGAAGGTAAGACCTGAAATCATAAAACTCCTAGAAGAAAATAAAGGCAGTACCCTCTTTGACACTGGTCATAGAGGTATCTTTTCTAATTCCATGTCTACTCAGACAAGAGAAACAAAAGAAAAAGTAAACTAGTGGGACTTCATCAGACTAAAGAGCTTCTGGAAGGCAAAGAAAACCAGGATCAAAATGAAAAGACACCCACCAGCTGGGAGAAAATATTTGCATATCACATATGCGACAAGGGGTTAATCTCCATAATATATCAAGAAGTCACACAACTGAACCACAACAAAAAACAACAACCTGATCAGAAAATGGGCAGAGGATATGAACAGACATTTTTCCAAAGAAGATTTACAGATGGCCAATAGGCACATGAAAAGATGTTCAACATCATTGATTATCCAGGAAATGCAAATCAAAACTACACTAAGATATCACCTTACACCTGTTAGAACGACTATAATCACCAAGACAAAAAATAACAAACGTTGGAGAGGTTGTGGAAAAAAGGGAACCCTCATTCACTGCTGGTGGGAATGCAAACTGGTGCAGCTTCTATGGAAAACGGTATGGAGATTCCTCAAAAAATTAAAAATAGGAATACCATATGACCTAGTATTTAATCCAAAGAACTTGAAATCAACCGGGTATTTAATCCAAAGAACGTGAAATCAACAATCCAAAGAGGTTTATGCACCCCTGTGTTCATTTCAGCATTATTCACTATAGCCAAGATGTGGAAGCAACCCAAGTGCCCATCCACTGATGATTGGATAAAGAAGATGTGGTATATATATAATGGAATACTACTCAGCTACAAAAAAAGACAAAATCATCCCATTTGCAACAACATGGATGGACCAGGAGGGTATTATGTTAAGCGAAATAAGCCAGACAGAGAAAGCCAAACACCATATGATTTCACTCATATGTGGAAGATAAACAACTCAGATACAAGAGAGAACAGTTTGGTGATTACCAGGGGAAGGGGTGTGGGGGGTGGGCACAAGGGGTGAAGGGGCGCATATCTACGGTAACACACAATAACGTACAACTGAAATTCACAATGTTATAAACTACTATGACCTCAATTAAAAAAGAAAAAGAAATGTACAATTTCAACCAAATGGAAACTCAGGGATGAAACTAGATTATGGAGGGATTTGTATGTTTAATTTGTATACTTTACATAAAATATATGCAGTTGTATACATCAGATATAATAAAATATACATTTATAAAAGCAAAAAAAGGAAAGGTTCAAAGGGGACAGTATGGCACGCTCCACTCTGTGGAGAGGTGGGGGCAGCGTGGCTGTAGCGTGGAGTGTGGTGGGCTCCAAAGCAGGGTGTGTTGAGGTGATGCAGGTAGAGAGGCAGGGGAGGGCCACGCGCACAGGGCTCTGTGAACTCGGGGGAGGAGCGTGGGTTGTATACGCAGTGCAATGGGAAACTGCTGGAGGGCAACTGTAGACCATCTGCACGTTATCTCAATTAATTCTTCTTGGAACAGATTTAGGAGATGGGTAGTATTTCTCCCCTATTTTTACGGATGAGGAAACCAAGGCTTGAAGGAGAAACATACCCAAAGTCACAAAGCTAATAAATTGCACAAGAGGAACCCTAATGAGGTGGTGTGACTCCGGAACTTGTGTCCTCAACTCAGTTCCATCTCTCGCCCCATTTTATAGACGGAATCACTGTGGCAGAGGGAGGCCAGGGACAAGGCTGTGCCGGAAGAAACAGAAGAAATTGCAGCATTTGGAGAAACAGGTGAGGAAAAGGAGAGAAGCTGTATTTTTGGACTTTGTGCGTGTTCTGGAGTGTTCAGCAGTTGTCTGGATAGAGGCGTCCTCACCTTGCAAGCCCGGTACAGGTACTTTCTATCCTGTGTGAGATGGTAAAGGGACAGGAAAGAGTAGCCATTTCCAGCAGTCCCGTGGCAGATCCCGTAGCCCTTCCGCAGCAAGCCTCGCTGCCAAATCACATCACTGCACTCCATGGCATCTTTCAAGTACTTCTCCTCCTTAAAAACCTGGGTGATGAAAAACAAGGCAGTCTTAAAAGGATATTTTCAATGAAGAGTTAGCAAAGTATTTTTCCTTTCTGGTTAGAAAATTGCATGGCATTATGAAACCTGAAATGCATTGGGGGTAAAAAACAAACACACACAAGCAACCCCACACTCCAGTACTTTACAATCTCAATTTGTCCATCTATTCTGCTGTCCTAGTTCGTGGTTTTACAAAAGTAATTCTAAAATTTAGTTCAAAAAATTAAAATGAAAGCTACCAGATCTCTTTGGTAAGATGATAAACCAAATAAACCATTCTGTGCTTCCCGGCACACACACCCTGCAGCTCTAAAACTTCTGCTCTTGTAGGATGCAGTTAAGGGAATGATGATTCCACAATGTCCTGTCATCTAGGACAAGAATATTCCACGTCCCAGGTCAGCCACATGTCAACAAGACCCCAAGGACCTGGCACCCATCACAAGGAAGCCTGCACAGAGCTTCCCAAAGCCTCAGGAGCAGGCAGGCCTGGGTTGCAGAACTTAATGGCACTGCCTCCACTGAGCAGTTTGTATGTGAGCTCAGGAAAGGCAAACGCCTGGCAAGAGGAAGCTGTCTGTTTCACCTCCTCGCATTTCCTTTTAAATATTCTTCTCTTTCTTTTCACATTTCATGTATTTTGTTTCCCTGGTCCTTTCCTCAGAATTTGTTATGAGTAATCTCCACCTGCTTAATTCACTCCATTCTAGTGCAAATGAGTTTTGGACAATGAATTAGAGTCAAAAAGGTCATTAGAAATGATGTCCTTGGGGGTGACAAATAGGATTCATCTTCTTGTGACTAATATGTAGTGACCTCCTGGGCACCCAGTTGAGAAGGCTCTGAGACTGCAGGAAAAAAAAAGAAAAAGGCCTGAACTACAATCAGTGTCTGTAGTGGGCAGAAGAAGGGGAAAAAGGGGCACATTTGCATTTCAGTCATTCTCCTGATGTAGAATCTACTCACAGTGTCAGAAGCAAGACTCTTAGTCATGAAAGCAACTGAAATGTGGGCTCTGGGTCAGACTGCCTAAGTTTGAATCTCAGCTCTGTCACCTTTTAACTGTGTGGTTTTGGATAAGTCACTTAACTTCTTACATCTTAGTTTTCTCAACTACAAAAGGATACTATTTCTTCATCTCAGTGGCTTGTGGGTATTAAAATAAGATAATACACAAGATCTTAGCATGGTGACTGGCACACAGTAAGTGCTAAGCACTCCTCAGAATCATTAACTCTTATTCTTTCCATGTTATCATGCCAGCACAAATACTTTACCCTGTCATTTGCATCTTAAGCCTCTTAAAATGAATTATAAATGGAAACAACTTTTCTTATCCTAAAGAAATATTTGGTCAAGGTGGTGCAGCGGTTGGGTTCCCGTGTTCTGCTTTGGCAGCCCAGGGTTCACCAGTTCGAATCCTGGGCACAGACCTACTCACCGCTCATCAAGCCATGCTGGGGTGGCATCCCACATAGACAAGCTACAACTCTACAACTATGATACACAACTATGTACTGGGGCTTTGGGGGGGGAAAGAAAAAGAGGAAGATTGGCAACAGATGTTAGCACAGGGCCAATCTTCCTTAAAAAAAAAAAAAAGGAAAGAAATATTTGGTCAAAGCTAATAGCTGAAAAGCAATTGTTTTAGTGGCTCTGTCCTGAAATTATACTGAGAGGAAAGCCAGGCCTAAAGACACCCGATTTGGTCTTTTCTGGTGGTAGCCCAGGGGTGTGTGAGGGTTGAAAGGGAAATCAATTAGATTTCCTTCCTGCAGTCCCTGATCCCCTGTAAGACTGAGGTTGTTAAAGGTGTGCCCATAATGCCACCTCCACTCTCAATTCCCCTGCACCAGTAGCACATCCACCCCACCCCCACCATCACATACATGCATGCTTTAAGTGCTGAGCTACTTTTAATAGTGAGACACTTGAGAATTTAAAGATTACAGAAAAAAGCTCCAAGATTCAATCATAGACTCCTCTTCTCCACACTGTAGCAATTATAACTTGGCCAGAAAACCCATTTACTTATCCACACTACTTCTCTCAAATGGTAAATTTCCCTGGGAAGTGTCATGACAAACAGTTTGAAGAGAGAGTGCAATGCAGATGAAAACTTAAGGATCTGGAGTCAGAAGACTGGGTTGATTCCCTCTTCCACGACGACTAACCGTGCGACTTTGAGTACGTCGCTGTAACTTCTCTGAACCTGTCTGCTGATGTGACAAAATGGGCTGATGCTGAGACGACTCAAAGGCTGAAGACAGACAAGGATTTTAGACAGTTACTAAAAATCTTTAAGAATGAAAAGGAAACTATACTGATAATCAGTGAACAGTTTGGAACTCTCAAAGGAAATGGCACTATGAAAAAGAAACAAGCAGATACTCTAGAAATGGAAAAACATCAGTAGGTGAAATAAAAAATTTACTGGGTAGGTTTAATAGCAGATTGGACTTGAGAGAAGAAATCATTAGTGAATATGAAGCTAGATGAACAGAAATTATCCAATGTGAATTACAGAAGAGAAAAATAAATAAAAGTTTCAGAGGCCTATTAGAAAATAAATGCCAAACATCTACCAAATGTAGTTAAAGACATACAATTATAAGTTTAAGGGGCTTAGGGATCTCAAGCAGGATAAATACAAACAGATACACATAGGCATATGAAAAAGAATTGAAAACCAAAAATTAAGAGGAAATCTTGAAAGCTTCCAGAAAAAAATACACACTACATATGAGAGAACAAGATAAAGAATGACTAACTTCTCATCAGAAACAAGGGAGGCCAGAACACAATGGAACAGTATCTTTAAAGGACTGAAAGGAAAACAAGACTGTCAACCTATAATTCTATATCCAGAAAAAATAACTTTAAAGAATAAAAGTGAAATAAAGAAAAGTTTAACATAAACGAAAGTCAATTTGTTGTCACCAAACCTGGACTAGAAAAAACGCTTTATAAAGGAAGTTCTTCAGGCAGAGGAGAATAATACCAGATAAAAATCAAGATCTTCAGGAAGGAATGAAGAACACTGAATGGGAAATCTATAGATAAATATCAAAACTAATTTTTTGTCAATATCTTTAAAATACACAGGACTATTTAAAAAGCAAAAATTATAACATTATATTGGGGGTTTATAACATTTGTTGACATGTACCACAGATAGTGCAAAGAACTGGAGTAAAAGGAACTACACACTTACTACTTTCTTACATTTTATGTGAAGCAGTATGATGTTAACTCTAAGTAGACTATGAAAAGTTAAGGATGTATACTGCAATCCCTATAGCAACCACTGAAAAAACTGTACAAATAGATACATTAAAGAGTCAACAGAGAAATTAAAATGGAATTCTAAAAAAATATCCAATTAATCTCTCCTACCTCCCTAAAAAAGGCAAGAAAGGAAAAACAGAGGAAAAAAAATTCCAAAATGAAGCCAATAGAAGCCAAATGGAAAAACGGCAGAGCTAAATCCAGCCATATAAATAATTACATTAAATATATATGAGCTAAACATTCCAAATTAAAGGCTGAGAGTGTTACACTGTAACACTTATTAGACAAGTCCCAACTATAAAGAGACACACTGTAAATATAAAGACATCAAAAACTATAAAACACTGCTGACGGAAATTAAAGAAAATGTAAATAAACAGAGATATATACCATACTTGTGGATAAGAAGGCTCAATATTAAGATGTCAGTTCTCCTAAAACTGATATACAGATTCAATGCAACCTCACTCATAATCCCAACAGGCTTCTCCTGTAGAAGTTGACAAACTGATTCTAAAACCTGTATGGAAATGCAAAGAACCTAGAATATTCAAAACAATTTTGAAAAAGAACAAAGTTGAAAGTCTTAAATTACTTGACTTCAAAACTTACAATAAAGCTAGAGTAATCAGAACAGAATAGTATCATAACCATAGATAAACATTCCAAAGTAACAGAACAGAGAGTCCAGAAATAAACCCTTGCTTATTAGGTCATCTGATTTTTTTTTGTTTTGTTTTTTTGTGAGGAAGATCAGCCCTGAGCTAACATCCGTGCTAATCCTCCTCTTTTTGCTGAGGAAGAACGGCTCTGAGCTAACATCTATTGCCAGTCCTCCTCCATTTTTGTTTTCCCCCAAAGCCCCAGTAGATAGTTGTATGTCATAGTTGCACATCCTTCTAGTTGCTGTATGTGGGACGCAGCCTCAGCATGGTGGAGAAGCGGTGCGTCAGTGCGCGCCCAGGATCCGAACCCAGGCTACCAGTAGTAGAGCGCGCGCACTTAACCGCTAAGCCACAGGGCCAGCCCTTAGGTCATCCGATTTTTGACAACGGCATCAAATCAATCAAATGGGGGAAATAAAAGTCTTTCCAACAAATGATGTGGGAACAATCAGATATCTCTATGGTTAAAAAAGAAGAACCGCACTTCTTATCTCATTTAATAAAAAACCTCAATTTGAGATAGATCATAGCTCTAAGTATAAAATCTAAATACACGAAGCTTGTAGGAGAGTATTATCTGTATAACCTGGGGGTAAGTAAAATTTCTTAGACAAGATACAGAAAGTAATTACCGTTAAAAATCTGATAAAATAGACTTTATCAGAATTAAAAACTCTATTCATCAAGATACTATAAAGAATATGATTAGGCCAACTACAGAGTGGGAGAAATTATTTGCAAAACATATATCTGCTAATACCAGAACATATGAAGAATTCTTACAACTCAATAATAAAAACACAAAAAAGCATAAAACAATGTGGGTAAAAAATATGAACTGACAGTCACCATAAACACAAGCAAAATTGCTCAACATCATTAACCATCAAGAAGATGCAAATTAAAACCACAATGAGATATCCACCAGAATAAAATTAAAAAGACTTTTAACACCAAGTGTTGGCAAAGATGCAGAGCAACCAGAACTCTCTTACACTGTTGATGGAATGTAAAATGGAACAACCACTGTAAGAAAAGGTATGTCAGTTTCTTATAAAACATACACCTACCCTCTGATGAAGCAGTTCCATTCCTAGGTATTGCCCCAAAAGAAATAAAAACATATGTCTACAAAAATACCTGTATAAGAATGTTCATAGCAGCTTATTCATAATAGTGAAAAACCAGAAACAACCGAAAAACAAATGGATAAATTGTGGTATATTTATGTAAATGATGCTTAGTCTTAGAAACGAATCAGAATATTTAGGAAGAAGAAAAGAAAGTACAGTTTGAAAAAATCTCTCCAGGTGATTCTGATACACACCCCTAGAAAGACATGCCATGTTTCAAATAACCAACTCACAAATGAGCTTTTGGAACATAATCTACATGAAAACATTTTCTGATGGGCAGTCAGCAGCTGACCACCAGGAGGCATCTCTGACACAGCTCTATTCTGGGATTTTCAGAGTAAGCTTGTGGGTGCAGGTGGGGGATGGGGCGGTTGTTTCATACATTTAAAATGCACAGAATCAAAGGATTACATCAATAGCATGTTGGTATGACTTATACGGTTTTCTTGGGCAGCACATTTACCTTTCCAAATACAATTTCATTTGACCACTGTTAGCATTTGCTTACAGTGGTTGAATCCAGGTGAACTGCTAATGCCCTAGGGCCCAAATGTGTGTTTAGAGGAAGGCAGAATATGTTACCATTACCTGTAATTTACTGATAGGTAATCAAGAGCTGATTGCAACTACTCATCAAAATAGTTTCCAGCTATGGGGTCCAAAAATACAATTTGTTAGAAAGTCATTTGCAATTAACAAAATTCCTAATACAGTACAGAATATTGTTAAAATCTTGACATTTTTCCCAAGACCACCTAAAACACTATATATATATATAAAATTTTAAATTAACAAATAATACATGTTCATACAAAGGAGAGTATACTGAATACTGATACATGATTAGCATCTACAGGAAGGGAAAACAAATTCAATGAATCTGGACTCAATTTATAGTTTTATTTGTGAAGGATATCAATATTTTTTAAAATACTTGAAAACCTTATGCCTTCATAAGCATTCTTGAAGAACTTACAACTTTATATGCCAGCATGAGAAACTGTTGAAAGCTTGTTATTACACAAAATTTAAACACTTCCTAATTTTAAGAGACACCGTCAATGAATGCAGACCCTCTTAATTTGAGTTAACAATAAAGAGAGAAAATATAGTCTAGAGCCGTGTTTCTCCAGCTTTGCACCTCCACCCCCTACTCTGCCCGCTGCCCTGGCCAAACACAAATTTCACACTCCACTCACTGACTTACATACTATGATGACACACTTTTACTTCCAACTGTAAAACTATATTATATATGTTTTTTCAAATTACCACCGATGTCTTCTGCCCCAGAAGGTTCTGATATTCTTCTCTGTCTTCAGGTTTGAGAATCTTGATGTAAATGGACAAAATTAAATTTTAGTGATTAAATATAGGATCTTAATGTCTTTGGCTCCACGCTTTGTAACAGAGAAATTTCTGTTTTGGAATTCGTGGGGCAGGGAAAGGCACTCACACAACACTGCGAGCAGAAGCCCTGCAGGCAGTAGCTGGCCTGCGACACCTGTGGCGTTGTCCGCAACCGGGCTGACAGCCGTGGTGGGAATAGATGGAGGCGACGGTCAACAGGGCTACTAGAAATGGAACCACCCAGGATGAAGGGCCCTGCTGGAAGCCCTGATTCCTGATCACCCGCTTACTGCCCACAGGACTCAGCTGCTGAAGCGGAGGATGGGGGCTGCGGGGAAGACCCCCAGCAGCCAACTACCCCCATTATCAGCCACCAGGAATGCTCAGCTCTATAGCTGATTCTCTTTAAAGTGAGAGAGAAGGGCCGGCCCCGTGGTTTAGCGGTTAAGCGTGTGTGCTCCGCTACCGGCAGCCCGGGTTCGGATCCCGGGCGCGCACCGCCACACCACTGCTTCTCCAGCCATGCTGAGGCTGCGTCCCACATACAGCAACTAGAAGGATGTGCAACTATGACATACAACTATCTACTGCGGCTTTGGGGAACAAAAGGAGGAGGATTGACAATAGATGTTAGCTCAGAGTCGGTACGTGGGACGTGGCCTCAGCATGGCCGGAGAAGCAGTGTGTCGCTGCGTGCCCGGGATCCGAACCTGGGCTGCCAGTAACAGAGCGCGCGCACTTAACCGCTAAGCCACGGGGCCGGCCCCCCCACAATTTTTAAAAATAATTTATGATAGTCACAAAGGGAAAACAAAATTGATTCAGGGACGTCCTTTTGTTATTGTCAGGTAGAAATATGAATTCTGCTCCATTAATTCCATCTACTTCTGCAAAACTAAGAGACTTTGCCAAAATCCCTATCAATCATTGTGGTTCCAGTTGTATACTTTGATATATGAGGAACAATCACCAACATCAAATATTACAAATAAAGATGCATTAAAATAAAAATAAAATTATGAAAGAAGCATTGTTTGTTTTCAACTTACATGATAAATCTTAGTCCAGGAGAAAAATCAACAAATATTCTTAATATTGTGCCCAAATATATCTAGAGTCTACTAGAATTAATCAGTGATGGCACTGCCTATTTTCCTGTAATACCCTATATGTAAAAACGTGAATGCCACACCTATCTCTTGTGAATAATTTTATAACAATTTTAAACTCACATTTAAAAGCTCTTGAATAATAATAGTAATAATAATAATAATGATAATCCAGCAATAAAGCCCTATTCAAGCAAGAAAATAAAATGATATGAAGTTAAACAAAAAAGCATTTGGGGTCTAATACTGCCAACTGCCTTACTGGTCACTCATTAGAATTAGAAAACCATTACTCTGCTGTCATCTAGGTTTTCTTTTACATAGGAATATAACCACTATTAAACACACACATGTACACTTATAACACTAACTACAGTGGTGATGAACAGTGAAATAATGAGACTTTCTATTTATTTTGGAAAAACATTAATTCTAAAAGGTTTTTAGTTTGCAATCAAAAGTGCTTGCCAAAATCAAACCGAAAACTTGGTGGTGAAAATGAGATCTTGAACACGGGGTGCCTGCGATCCACAATGAAGTACTGACCTTGTAAGCTTGCATAAGCATATGGATGACACCCGGGGCACCGTGGCACCAATGGACCAATCGATCTGTTTCATTGCTTAACGATGACGGATAATTCCCAGATCTGAATCTTTTGTGGCGTATATAATCAATACTAGGTTTCACCATTTCTGACAAGGTTTCTTGGTCCACTTTTGCTTCTGGCTTTAAACAAACAAAAATAAAACACTTCATTTATTTTTCCTTAAGTTCTTTTTTTAAACCTCTGTATTGCAGCTAATATAATAATTCCAGGTAACTGAGGCTTGGAATTACCTGGAATACTGAGGAGCACATGAAATTAGAATTGATTCAATTATCTAGTTATTAAAGACCTGACAGACCTTTTTTTTTGTTTCAATTCTTTTGATGCTCCAGATGAAGTCTGAAGGCCATCACGTGCTGGAGAATTCTCGCTTGCTAAGGATAGGCCTTCAACTGATCAGACGAGGCCCACCCACATTACAGAGGGCAAACTGCTTTACTAAAAGTTTACCCATTTAAACGTAAATCTCACCCAAACTACCCTCACAGAAACATCTAGAATAATGTTTGACCACATATCTGGGCACTGTGGCCCTGCATGTTAACACATAAAATTAACTATCATGGATAGCTAGCTAACTTTTTTAATGCTTTAATTTTCAAATGCCTATATACACATAAATCCAAATGTCTATATACACATAAATCTTTTATCTGAGCTGTTTCTCCAAAAAAAAGAGACTTCAATCGCCTATTCGAAGTAGAGGTGGCCTTGCTACTTGGGGTGAGAGAAAAGTGGTAGTGCATGAGGCTGGTTGTGGCAGCAGGAGGTCTCACCATTTACCATGTGGACACCGATGCAAAGCCTCTGTTTCTAGTTCTATGCTTCACTTCTCCTCTACACCTGGCTTTCTTGAGTTAAAACAGTTGGTTCATTTCCTCCAGACCATTTCCTTTTGTCTCCAGCAGGAGTTAGAGGAGGAACAGTCACCTCACTGTGCAGGGCGGACTTACTAACAGCACTCCAGCTGATTTGGAGAAAGATTTTCAAAGAAGCCCTCCTGCTGCCCAGACCCCACCCCCATATGAACACGTCTGGCACTGCCTTCGATAGTACATGGCGCTTTAAATTCCTGAGTTCCATGGTTCTGCAGGACAAACTGGCTTCCCCTTGCTGGCACCCTCCTGTTCAGGCATCTATGTGTGATCTTCCTCTGCCATTCTTTCATCTATTCTCAGTCTATGTATTTGTAGTTTGGGGGCTCCAGATGTCTTCTGGTTTCATCAAAAAAGTTGGGTTTCTGTTTTCTGTTTTCTTTGTTGTTGTTTCTCCCCAAAGCCCCAGTGCACGGTTGTATATTCTAGTTATAAGTCCTGCTAGTTCTTCTACATGAGCTGCCACCACAGCATGGCTACTGACAGACGAGTGGTGTAGTTCCAAGAGAGGGAAATGCACCCAGGCTGCCGAAGAAGAGCATGCCAAACTTGAACCACAAGGCCACTGGGCTGGCTCTGTTTTCTTTGCTGTTTTGAGATGATTTTCAAGAGAAGAATTGTCATTATTCTGCCATCATGAAAGTCGAGTTGTGTTTAAGTGATATTTTAAAAGTTTTTGTGTCTATTGTTCTGACAGCCTTCCCAATGAAACCATAGAGCAGGACCGGGAGGAACGCTCTGCTGCTCTGCCAGACTGGCAGGAACACAGTACAGGGAAGAGGTGTGCACAACTGCTTTTGTGAGCCAGCTCTAGTACACCACCGCTTAGCGATCATCAAAATAAAACTGACATCAGTTTCTAAATAGAATCCTTACTAAATAGTTTGTGTTCTTCACTTTAAAAGCAGATAAGGGGAGAACTTTATGATTTGTGTTTCTCTGAAGGAAACCCCTCATATTTAACAAAATTAACCTAAATATCTAAATCTAAATTAGGTCATTTTTATTGGTGTGGTTCTCATATGATTGTTTTCCCTAAGGGTATTATCACTTAAAAAAAAAATGGTTCACAAGTCACTGTTAAAACACTTTTCTGGGAAAATAGAGAATACACACAATCTACCAACTGTCCAGAATAAGAGTGCCATTTTTAAGTGAGATAAGGAACTCTGGTTATTTTAGCAACGTGTGTCTTCACTACAGTCATGCGCTGCATAGCGATGTTTGGTCAACCACAAACCCCAAGTACAACAGCAGTCCCCTAAGATCAGCACCATACAGCCAGCTGTGTAGTGGGCTGGACCACTGAGGTGTGTATAAGCTATGATGTTCACACAAGGACGAAATCGCTCAATAACACATTTCTCAGAACATATCCCCATCACTGAGCAACACATGACTGCATAAAGAAAATTCACAAATTAGAATATATACATGTTTTACTTTCTACAATGATAAACAAAGACAACTAATTACCAGAAAAGGGGGTTTTAGTCCTGTGTAAACATGAATTTCCTATTTTCCTTTAGTGAGTAGCAGCATGATGCAGTAGGTTAAACAAAAAAAAGGAATTTGAAGTAAAACTTTATAAAAGGACTATATGACCTTTTAGTCAAACAGATCTAAATTCTAATCCATGCTCCTTGACTTATTAGCTTTGTAATTTTGACCAAGTTAATTAACTACTCTGCTATGGGTGTGGTAGAATAAAGAAAGGCTCAATTGAAAACAAAAGTAGGCTGCATACAGAGCAGGGAAGGCAACCACAGGCCCTAAGGCTGGAAGCAGCTTGAAGCAATATCTGGGGTGGGATCTCCGCCTGCCTAATGGAAGAGTCAGTACTTCATTCAGTAGATGTCAGGGATAACTGAGAGATAAGATCATAACCACAACAACAAACTAGTTAAAAATTCAGAACATGACAGATAGCAAGTTAGGGGTATCTGAATATGAAAACATCTCTGCCCCAATCTGGATTTTGGAGGCCCTTTCTGCACCCTGAAGGTTTTCCCCTATTAAAACAGTAACCACTTCAATCAGCAGGAGGACATGGACAGAAGAAAAGTGTGGGTGACAGACACCTAATGTGGTACAAAACTGCATACAGAATGTGCTCTCAGCAGTTCACCACTTGGGTTCATGAAGCAGAGCTTAAGCATCTGTGATTCAAAGTAGGATTCTTATTTCATTTCAGGTTGCTTGGTTTGTACTAAAATTTCAGTTCCCATTTCCTATTTGATGTAATATTTTATAATGTGGTCACTGTTATTAGAATTTCACAGTATTCTTATTTACCTGCATTAACATGTAGTAGATTCCAGCCATGCCATGGGCTGCTCCAACATACTGTTTTCTGTGCCACTGATACAAGAGGGGACAGCGCTCAGTCTTCCTTTCTTCCCTTGACAAGTTCTTGCCCGATTCAATAATAGCACTGACTACCTACAGAGATAATGAGACAGCATAAGTCTAAAAAACTTACTTGTATCCTGTTTTAATCTAATTAACACTAACGTCTTTTTTTTTTTATAATTTTATTTATTTATTTTTCCCCCAAAGCCCCAGTTGATAGTTGTATGTCATAGTTGCACATCCTTCTAGTTGCTGTACGTGGGACGCAGCCTCAGCATGGCCAGAGAAGCGGTGCGTCGGTGCGCACCCGGGATCTGAACCCGGGCCGCCAGCAGCAGAGCGCGCGCACTTAACCACTAAGCCACAGGGCCGGCCCACAACATGTCTTTATATATATAAAAGTAGACAGCTGACAGATAGGTAACTTAATCTGAAAATCTTCAAGCAGTTAGTAGCCAACATTGTGATCTTTATTTTATAAATTAATAAATACAGGCTGAGAGAAATCAGAAGACAATCTCAGAGTAGAAAAAAACATGAAGAAGTCGAACCAAGAAATCAAAAGTTCTCTGCATGAACAGTTTACTAGAATCTAGAAGAAAAATTCCTATAAAAACCATCCTAGACTTAGTTGCTTGGTAGCTGTAATGTTTTCCCTGAAAGACTGGCAAATACATCTTTCAGGAAAGGCTGGAGGAATTGGCTTTACTTACAAAAGGCTAATGAAATGAGGTCTGTTGTAGTGTGTAGGATTTTAGTTACATCGAAAGAAGAATTTCATATCCAGAATGACCAAGTGGCAAAGACACCAATTGATTCCTCATATCCATTCTCCCCTCACACTTTTGGTAACAGTGTTCCAAGTTTTAGCTGGGTATCTGGCCTCCTAGCTACAGACAGCTGGACAGAACCATTTGACTGTTTGGAAGTGAGACGTGAGCAGAAGTGAGGTGGGCAACTTCTAGTTCTTGGCCTTAAAAAGGAAGCTGCTCATCTTCCACTTCCTCACCAGTCTCCTGGGCTGGAGTGCTCAACTTGCTTTGGTCATGCAAATAAGGGCACGCTCCTAGGACATGGTAGAACAAGAGAGAAGAACCTGGGTCCCTAGCCATATCTGCCTGGACTGCCTACCAGTTCAGACACCTCATGAAAGAGAAGTAAAGATTCTATCTTTTTGAAGTTACTGTTGTTTGGTTCCAGTAAAAACAAATGAATCAATACAGGCCTATGAGAAGTAAGATTTTTAAAAAATATTCCTAGAAAGAGAAATAGGAGGGAGTTATTAATTTTATGAGACACTTTAAGAAATTACTGCTACCTAGAAGCAGAGTCTAGCCACCACTATAACTCAAAGCTAACAGATAGGATCAAATGGTAGAGATGAGAGGACACTCATAGCTGTCAGTAATCCCACAATACCTCTTTAACAGCCGACTCACACACGGTGCCCGGACCGATCTCTGTGTTCAGGTAGAGCAACGCATACAGATAACCTGCCCGTCCGTAAAGCAGCTCATCAGGAATGTCTGAATCGCGGCAGACAACGGTTCTCTGGAGCTGCAAAAGTCTACCCAACAAGAAAAATTGTTTTCCCAGAGAATGTCTAAAATAACTCTTCATGAAACTCCATCACTTTATGAATTACTTGTTATTTATGTTTAATTTAAAACCGATTTCATAAAATACAAGACAAAGCCCTGAGAAAAAACCCACAACTTATCCACTTCATTAATCTCTCGCAGATGTAAAAATAACAAAACATCTTTCTGTTAAAAATTTCTACCTTTATATTTATTTTAAACCATGTAAGAGAAGATATTCAATTTTGAAATCCAAAATTAGAAGGAAGTAATTTAAAATCTAAATGAAAATGGTACTAAAATGTAGCCAATGCTTGGGAATTAGCATGAGTCATTCCACCCTTCAACAAACATTAACTGACTAGCATGTACCAGCCACTCTACCAGGCCCTGGGAGTGAACCCTGACTCCTGCTTCTTCAAGAAAGAATCTAAACCAATAGATGCAATAAAAGTTTACACTCTAATTGTTCCATAATTAGCATACATAGATATATGGATGTTCCAAATTAGCATCTAATCAGTTACTTAAAGGTTGAAACTAAGAATCAGTTATAGTGAAACTAAGGCAAATAAGCTCATTTTCATGCACTGAAAGCAACAAAAAATTACTTAGGAAAAACGATTACACAAAGAAACATGTTTATTCCCCCAAAAATAAACACATGCTTGGATAGAAAGGGAGCATATGATCCCACCATTATGCTGAAATTAATACACAATACTTGTCACTTCTTAGGGAGACCTGTTGCAATAGGAGATGAATTAAAAAATTATTTCCCTTTTGAATCTTTCTACAGCAAGACCTTCAACTGAGAATCTGGAGAAAATATTTCCAGTTTTAAAAACTCACTTTGTGATGCATTCCTGGGACTCGCGATCACTTTTGAGTTTATGATAGACCACAGCTCCTACAGCAAGGGGCCCAGCATCTCCACAGAGGAAGGTGACCCTACGGCCATTCAGATTCCGAAGCGTTCTCTTTATGTAATCCAGGGATCGGAGCAGGTAGGTCTGGTCACATGTGACCCGATACAGCTGCAGGTACAAAAGGGCTATGCCTGGAATAACACCCCCACCCCAAAAGAAAAGCATCATTACCTTTCCTTTTTACCTTTAGGACATTATTTTACAATTATATGAAACAGCTTCTCCTACAGAAAAAACTTAAAACAAGTTTAAAAATATTGTCTTGCTAATCGTTCTGACAGTGATTCAATGCCTCCTAGACAAGGGAAAATACGACTTCCCACTCACTCCCATTTAATTTTCATTCATTTCAAGGTTTTATTCATTCTCCTTTGTATCTTAAGCTAACTTGGATCCTTCTCTTTTTATTTCTCATATAATCATTTCCTCCTACCTTATGCCAAATTAAATAATTACTTTTCTGAATTTTATACCTTCTTCTTTCCAATTTTTCTACTTCTCAGTTTTCAACTTTCTTTAGTGATGAACCCATCCACATGACCAACGAACCAGTAAGTCAACTCATCATTTATGGAACAGCCACATGATGCAGAGTAAGGTAACAAATACAGAAGTTACAGTTTATCACACATCCAACCTTCCTATTTGAGACAGAACAGATCCAAATATTCAAGTGAACCAGAGAGGGATCTTTTTCTGAAAATCTGTGGAGGATGACCTATAGGCTTCTGAAAGCAGCATGCCATTATTCCTGGGTTCAAGAGGTCAATATGACAGCTACATAAGAAATGAATCTGCATAAATACATACTTAATAAAATATATTGTAGGAAAAGGTATTGAAAGAAATGATATGATGGTGAAAGGCAAAAAAACCACATTTATTAATGTTTGAATTGAGATTCTGTAATATTCTGGTCTTTGTCTAATATCCTATTCTCATTTTTACTATTTTTCATTTTGCTTTTTAAATTTCTCTAAGCAAGTAACTTCTTCTTTCTTTAATTCTCCTATTCAGAGTATCTCATTTCCCTTTCAAATTAATTCTTAACACCTACATATTTTTTTGAGAAGTCCTTCTTTTGTCATTGTCCATTTCTTTAAAGATGTTGAGTCAAACAGATATAAAAGTGACATATTTGTAAGCCTTGAAAAAAAATCCTTCCATATCAATTGTTTATGATCTCGAGTGTTTTCTATATTCAAATTTTTTTAAACATATAGAAAACAATTTAAAGTTAAATACCTAGAAATTTCAAACATAATAATCACTATAAAAGGTTTACAAATAAGTATTTCATGACTGACTTTGAAACCGCTAAAAATAGGATGACGATCTGGCCAACCTGCGAACCTAAAAACCTATAGTTATATATGTTCAATGCTTAGGTATTTTAAAGTAAATGATGACAGATAAAGTATATGTTTTTTAAAAAAAAGTCATTATGACATTCTGCCCCTGAATACTTCAGTATGAAAATCTAAAATATATGAACCTTTTCCTATAAGCCAAAATAGCATTATAACTCTCAAAATTAACAATTAGTAAGTGAGACTGAGCTGAGGTACTTATTGGGTAGATCTTGATCGGTTTTGGTACCAGTATTATCCTTCCTTCATAAAATAATGGGAAGTATTCTTATTTTCCTATCCTCTGAAATAGTTTAAAAGTAGCACTGCGATTTCCTGTTTTGTTTTTTTTTTTAATGGTCTCTTTCTATTAGCTTATTCTTCATTTTTCCCCAGTTTTACTAAGGTATAATTGACAAAACTATATATATTTAAAGTGTACAAGATGATTTGATATATGTAAAAATTGTGAAAAGAATACCACAATGATGGCGGCTCACATACAAGAACTAGAACAACTATGTACTGGGGCTTTGGGGGAGGAAAAAAAAAAAAAAGAGGAATAATGGCAACAGATGTTAGCTCAGGGTGTATCTTTCGCAGCAAAAAAAAAAAAAAAAAAAAGCTAAGGGGCCGGCCCAGTGGCGTGGTGGTTAAGTTTGCACGCTCCGCTTCGGTGGCCCAGAGTTTGCTGGTTCAGATCCCAGGCACGGCCCTACCCACGACTCATCAAGCCATGCTGTGGTAGTAACCCACATAAAAAACAGAGAGGAAGATGGGCATGGATGTTAGCTCAGGGACAATCTTACTCACCAAAAAACAAAAAAAAGAAAAAAACCCAAAACTTGATTTGAGAATACCACAATGAGGTTAATTAACACACCTATCACTTCCCATAGTTAGTATTTTGTGTGTATGTGTGGTGAGAATACTTAAGATCCACTCTTTTAGCAAATTTCAAGTATACAATACAATATTAGGAACTATAGTCACCATGCTGTACATTAGATCTACAGAACTTGTATGTCATAATTGAAGGCCTGTACCCTTTGATCAGCATCTCCCCATTTCTCCCATCCCACAACCCCTGGTAATCACCATTCTACTCTCTATTTCTATGAGTTCAAATTTTTTTTTTTTTTTAAGACTCCATATATATGTGAGATCATACAGTATTTGTCTTTCTCTGTATGGCTTATTTCACTTAGCATAATGTCTTCTAGGACCATCTGTGTTGTGGCAAATGAGAAGATTTGATTCTTTCTCATGGCTGAATAATATTCCACTGTGTGTATTTATGTGTGTGTGCGTATATATATACACCCATATATATATATACCCCACATCATCTTTAACCATTCAACCATTTATGAATACTTAGGTTGTTTCTTTATCTTGGCTATTGTGAATAATACCACAACGAACATGGGAGTGCAAATACCTCTTCAAGATACTGACTTCGTTTCCTTTGGCTATACATGCAGAAGTGAGATAGCTGCATCATATACGGTAGCTCTATTTTTAACTTTTTGAGGACCCTCCAAACTGTTTTCCATAATGGCTGTACCAATTTACATTCCCACCAACCAGGCACAAGAGTTCCCCTTTCTCCACTTCCTCTCCAACACTTATCTCTTGTCTTTTTGATAAAAGCCCTCCTAACAGGTGTGAGGTGATATGTCAGTGTGGTTTTAATTTGCCTTTCCCTCATAATTAGTGATGTTCAGCACTTTTTTACGTATCTGTCAACCAGCTGTATGTCTTCTTTGGAAAAACGTCCACTCAGGTGCGTTGCCCATTTTTAACCTATATTATTTATTTTTTGCTATTGAGTTGTATAAGTTCTTTATATATTTTGGATACCAACCCCTTAGCAGATACATGGTTTGCAAATATTTTCTCCCATTCTGTAAGATGCCTTTTCATTTTGTTGACTGATTCCCTTGCAGTTCAGAAACTTCTTAGTTTGATGTAGTCCCACTCGTTTATTTTTGCTTTTGTTGCCTGTGCTTTAGGTGTCACATCTAAAAAATCATTGCCTAGAACCATGTCAAGGAGCTTTTTCTCTATGTTTTCTTCTAGGAGTTTTACAGTTTCAAGCCTCACATTTAAGTCTTTAATCCATTTTGAGATAATTTTTGAGAGTGGTGTAAGATAGGGATCCAGTTTCAATCTTTTTGCACATGGATAGCCAGTTTTCCCTACACCATTTATTGAAGAGATGATCATTACTCATTGTAGGTTCTTGATGCCTTTGTCAAGGACTAATTGACCATTTGTGCATGGCTTTATTTCTGGGGTGTCTATTCTGTTCCATTGGTCTATGTGCCTCTTTTTATGCCAGTACCATATTGCTTTGACTACTATATCTTGGTAATGTACTTTGAAATCAGGAAGTACGATGCCTCCAACTTTGTTCTTCTTTCTCAAAATTGCTTTGGCTATTCTCGGTCTTTTGTAATTCCACACAAATTTTACAATTTTTTTCTATTTCTGTGAAAAATATCATTAGAATTTTGATACGAGTTTGCATTGAATTTGTAGATCACTTTCGATAATATGGACATTTTAACAATATTAACTCTTCCAGTCCATGAACATGAGCTATTTTTCCATTTGTTTGCATCCTCTTCAATTTCTTTCATCAATGTCTTATAATTTGCAGTGTACAGCTCTTTCACCTATTTTTTAAAATTTATTCCTAAGGATTTTTTTTTGATGCTCTTGCAAATGGAATTCTTTTCTTAATTTCTTTCTCCAAAAGAAATGCAACTGATTTTTGAATACTGATTTTGAAGCCTGCAACTTTACTGAATTTGTTTATCAGTTCAATTTTTTGGTAGAGTTTTTAGAGTCTTCCATATATAAGATCATGTCATCTGCAAATGAGACAATTTCACTTCCTTTCTGACTTGGATGCCTCTTTTTTTTTTTTTTTTTGTGAGGAAGATCAGCCCTCAGCTAACATCCAATGCCAATTCTCCTTTTTTTTTTCGCTGAGGAAGTTTGGCCCTGGGCTAATATCTGTGCCCATCTTCCTCTACTTTATATGGGATGCTGCCACAGCATGGCTTGACCAGCGGTGCATCAGTGTGCACCCGGGATGCAAACCTGCGAACCCTGGGCCGCCAAAGCAGAGCATGCACACTTAACCGCTTGCGCCACCAGGCCAGCCCCTTGGATGCCTCTTATTCCTTTTTCTGGCCCAACTGCTCTGGCTAGGATTTCAGTATAATGTTGAATAGAAGTGGCGAGATTGGGCATCCCTGCCTTGTTCCTGATCATAGAGGAAAGGCTGAATATGATGTTAGCTGACTAAGAGTATCATTAAGTATGATGTTAGCTGTGGGCTTAACATATATTGCATTTATTATGTTGAGGTACATTCCTTCTACACTGAATTTGTTGAGAGTCTTTTTATTATGAAAAGATGTTGAATATGCTTTTCCTGCACCTATTGAGATAATCATATAGTTTTTATCCTTCATTATGTCAATGTGGTAAATCACATTTATGGCTTTGCATGTGTCACACCATTCTTGCATCCCAAGGATAAATCACACTTGACTGTGGCATGTAACTTTTTTAATGTGCTGTTAAAATTTGCTTTGCTAGTATCTGGTTGGGGATTTTTGCATCAATATTCATCAGGGAATACTGGCCTGTAGTTTTTTTTTTTCCGTTAGTATCATCGTCTGGCTTTGGTATGAGGATAATGTTGGCCTCATAAAATCAGTTTGGAAGTAAGTGTTCTGTTCACATCAGTTTTTTTGAAGAGTTTG